TACAGTCGACTCTCGTTAATTCAAACCTGCAATAATTCGAACCTTTCTATAATTCAAAGTTATCACGAATTCCCTACAAAATCTCTTTATATTTCGAACTAAATCAATACATTTTTATTCACTTGGTAATTCAAACGAAAAAATCATTGCTACATAACAAAACGACGCGTTAATTCGAACTCATCGGCGTCAAACACTCGACAATTCAAAGTTGCAGAGAGAAAGATACAGAAAGATTGTAAGTACATTTTGAGGCAAGTTCAAACTTGTATCATCGTATCATCGAGCCTTTGTTTTTGTTAGGATTAGGAGAAAATTTATGCTGTTCAAACTGGTGGAGTATGGAAAAGAACTCCTAAAGGTGAATTTCCTCGTCTGGAAGAAAGCCTGGTTATTTAGCTAAGACAGTGTAGAGTACAAAAAGTGTCTATTAGCGGAAACTTGTTAAGGGAAAAGGCAAAAGAGTTCGCGTCTTCTCTAAAGATCAAAAACTTTCGCGGCAAGTGAAGGGTGGCTCAAAAAGAAATGAAAATATTTATTTTCTCTCAAAAATTTCGAACCATTTGATATTTCAAACATTCGATAATTCGTAATATTTTAAGAGCCCCTCAAGTTTCGAATTATCGAGAGTCGACTGTATAATTTTTTGAATTGTGGGTTTATTTTTATTGTCTTTTGTAAATAAAGGTAATGTAAATATATAAATTAAAGTTTATATTCCTTTTATATATAATTGAAATTAAGAAAATACAAAAATAAAAACTTATGTATCTTCCGCCGGTGTACAGCTGTACCACATAGATTGTTCGGTATGAACAATCAAAGAACTCGAAGGACCAGCGTATGTCCGATTAATAAGATGCGTATCACTTAATACGTTTATTAATCTTATACATACACACGACAAATTAATCTAACTTAAATTTACGATTACAAAAATGAATTGAATTTAAAAACGATTGGTTTGATGGATGTGCTATGACTGTAATGTTTAAACTGTTCTGTCTTTTTTTATCTGAAACTATTTCTCCCACTTGTATCACTTCTGTTTATGGAATTTTTCCGTGGTCACTATCCCCAACGTCACTGGTCACGTACATTAAAAGGTTCGTAGTTACGTGGCACATAATGGTGTTACAATTTAGCGAAAAACCAAAATTCAAGAATACAACGCAGATGCACTGCAAATGTACCGAAGGCGGCATTTAGAATAACTCGAAGATGTTCGCAGGTATAAAGTCTTAACACAGACATAAAGAAACAAAATCGAGCATAGAGAACTCAAACTCCAAATTCGTGTTCACTTATGAATCAGTCTACAGAAAAAAAAACATGGTATGTAGCTTCTACACTTTTATTTAGAGATCTCTAACAATATTGTTTCGGTTACCTTCTGTCCCAACACGAAGACGGTTTTGGTGATCAAAGGGTAGGTACTTTTGACGTCAGGTGGGCGAACAATGAAATGAGGCGAACAGGAGGCGAGATGCAGAAAAAACCATTGCATTCGGTTTTATTAAGTATCAATAATCGTCATATTACATCGGCGATTATGTATCTTCTTATACAGTAGACAAAAGCATCAGTTGTGATCACACGTTTCCTTAAATTTGCTCATTAATTTTGTAGACATTAAATAGAACGTAAATGTCATGTATGTGTACATTACTTGTAAATAAAAAGTTAAAATTATCCTCGACGCAATACATGCATATATGTAACTTTTCTGATTTCTTAAGAGCCGCACATCATTACAGACACGACTGGTTGTTTCGTTAAGTTCGACTGTGTTACGTATGTATAGATATAAATTCGAAGATAATAAATCTAATTCTGATTCAGTTACATCTACCTTCCCAATTAATAATGAGTCGAGGCTGATTTGAAACTATTGGTAACATTATTTGTATATGATCAGAGGGATTTGGGACCTTTTTTATAGTGTTCTTTATTTTAGCAATTGAGCAAAGCTTCGTGAATGTTGATATGTAAATTCTTGAAAAGTTGTTATCTAGATAATTTTTACAGGGCGTTGTTAAATAAATAATACATAAGAAAACAATAAATAGTAGTGATCAGGTGTAATTCGTCTCACCTAATAACATGGATTCTTTTCCCCAACAGATCCTGACTGCACTTAGGATGGTCAAACAGATACTCCGGTAGACCCAAAATAAACTAACAGTTACTGACAACCAATAAATAAACATTAATGTACTCACCGGGGGTTGCCTTCCCCCTAGTTCAGTTGGACCATAAGATTGTACACGTATCCAATATATTACCAGTTTTGTTTATACGTATTCCTATTCTTCGACAACTAGCTAGAGTCACCCTAAAATAAGTAAGGCTTCCCTAGACGCCCAGCCCCCTTTAGGGACTAGCATCTCAATGAACGGGTGTGGGGTACTTACATGAAGCTACCCTCGCCACCAGAATCATGTCATTCGAGTAGCCCGCAACACCCCTAATTGCGAGTAACCCCACTCGAAGGAACCACGGCTATTTTGGCCGGGCAACAGTGCACCAGGGGTGAAAGCATGCTATTTTTAATTATATTTCTGTATCAATCTCGATACACACACTTCGTTCGCTCACGGGGCGAAACCAACACAGACTGCCTACATATTTCTTATTCTCAGATTATCTGTTTACAGTCTGATTATGTATTACCTATGGGTCTACTCAACCAATAAACAAATAACCTCATTCATTCGAAACCATCAGCCTTTCCAACCAATATATAGAATGTAGAGATAAAGACTTTATTGAACGAAAAGAATATTAAGAAGATATTAGAGTAAAAATCGTAAACAATGAATATATATAAAAAAACAATATTATATACAAAAGAATATTTTACAAAGTAAATAGCGATTCTGCTTTTAATTACACGACTAAGTAAATTCTTCTTTGATACCTCTTGCAAGATATTTTTATCCATCCAAATTGCGTTTTTACGTTTTTCAATCTTTCCTTTGAGTACTACTTCTATTATATCCCAAATGATTTCATGAAATTTTCGATTTGATCTGTTTTTGTTAATGACCAGTTATATTTTCTAGTTTGTGCACGGTGAAATGTGCATTTAATTTTAATAATTAGGCACCTTGGAAATGTCTAATTCTATTGATGTATTGGCGGTAGATATTCAACTATCC